AGAGTGAAAGTAATATTTGAATAATGTAAAGAATTGTAAACAATTACTGTATACAATAAACTCTTAATAATACTTAATAATGTTAATAACGTATTATTTAATCTATTTTTAAGATAATTTCAAAGAGAAATCATTTGGTAACCGCAAAATCACGTTGTAAGCATATTTTATGTACATGGTGGTAGACGTGGTAATAGAAAATATTATTCATAAATACCTTTCGGAATTTCGAGGTGGTATTTTTAATTTTAGTTAACTGTAGTTATTAATGAACACTTTTTCAATTAAAAAAACAAAATACTTTAATTTTTTATTTATTATTGTTACAAAAGTAAAATACAGTAAAATATTAAACCATATAGAAAAATCTTATGCTCTATCACCACCAGCATCACATTGTTTATTTAAATACTACTTACTTTAAATACTTTGTGCTTATTGATAGATTTCATTCTCCATTGGTGTCTTTTAAATCCACTAATTCCTGGTGGTGGAGTAGTTTTTGGGAGTAATAAGCTTACCTTAGGAGCTAAATATCTTCCTTTATTATTTTTAAACTCTTCAAACTCCTTTTTTAGATCTGCTAACTGTTCTTTCAATTTCTTATTACTCCTAAGCAAAAGTGTTGATGTCCTCTCAGTATCTCAATGTTTACTTTGATTTTGAACAAGTTCCCTATATTTATAAAAAAGTAAGAAAAGAACAATTTTTTTAATCTTTTAAATATGTTCCTAGTATTTGCCAAAACAACACAAGTAGTAAATACATACCAATTTTACATATCTCTATGTCCATTTCAATAGAATTTGTTTTTATTTCATCTAACTCTTTTCCTGGTAAACCTATTTTTGTAAATATAGCATTAATTCTGGTTAAAAAAAATCGTTGGTTTCAAAATAAAATATATTTCACAGATGAAATAAAAAATACAATTAAAGCACATTATATACATTAAAAAATAGATGGAAATGTAGCGGCGAAAAAGCAATTATAATAATCGTATCTATATAAAAAATAATTATATAATTATATATAATGGGTGTCGTTCGTTCGCATTTAAACATTATCCAGCTTAGTAAATTTGATAAACTAATTTCTTTGGTAAATAGAACGAATCAACTTTGTTTCTTGTTTAAAAATTGAATGTTATGAAGGGATGATATTATTTTTGTTCGAAAAGAATTACTTCAACTTGATTTTTTCTATTATTATTTATCTTCTTTTCCTTTTGAATTCATCGATTCCTATTGCACGAGACATCCGCCCTTTTTATATATCTTATTTTTTATTCTTCATTAGTCCGTCGTCTGCCTAAATATTTTTTAAATAAAAAGAGAACAAAAGTTAAATAAAACAATTTAACGTTATATTTTGTAAGCAAATAAATCATTCTTAAACAAAAAATAATTATTAAATTATGTTTAAAGCAAAGCGAATTTGTGAACGATTTAAAGATTAAGATAAACGTGCATCTTCTTAATTAATTATAATTTTCATTTCATGCGAAATTGTTAATATATTTTTTACACTATATTACAAAAAGCATCGTCCAAAACGGGATTCAAGCAAAAAGTTAAGGATAAAGCCCAAATTTACTACATAATAATGAAATTTTTTAAAGAATCAAAGAGAAAAAGTTAAAAATAAAATAAAAACGGAAGAGATAAAAACAGTTTACTTACTGTAAGTATAGTTTTTTTTTGTATTAAAAAGAAATTTTGAATTAATCACTTTTATTATAAAACTGTTTTTCTTAAAACACTATTATTACTTTTTAATTAATTTATAAATTGTAAAAAATATATTATTAAATTTATAATAATGAAACAAGTGTAAATAAGTGTAATAATAATCTAAAGTGATCTTTTTTTATTATGTTAAATTCAAATTTAAAATAAAATAACTATTAATATATTTATGTTTAAACATAAAACGAATTACTCCTGGTTGGCAATGAAATGGGAATAGAAGGGGAGAGCTAAAAGAGTTAAAAAGACAACTAAATTATTGGGGCAGATGTGGACCTAAATATTTGAAAAAGATTTGTATTTAACATTAAGTTAGCACCAACAGGATATTTCTTTAAGTTCTGGTTATCATTCCAAGACTAACTTCGCTATCACATAACCTGGAATATTAGGATTGAGATCATTTATCATAAAATATTAAATGTATCAAAGACTAGAGATGTATAACATTTAGTTTTGCTTGATACTTAACGTTGGTGAAGTTTGGCCAAGCAATTTAGATGCTAACTTTATAGTTATACTAGAAAGAAATTATGGGAGGAGAAGAGAGGTTTTAGGAAAAATGAGAGTAGATATAATCGATATTTATAATCAGAAGTTCCCCATATCTATTTTTACACGACACTTCTAATAAATATTTAAAAACTATTGAATTTAACATAACCAAAAAGAAATGATTTAGGGATTTCTTTTAATAATTTTTCTGGGGGGTGGGAGAAATAAAGTTATAAAGCAGTTAAGCATATGAAAAGAAAAAATCATATTTTGGCAAAAATAGCCTTTATTAAAACGTTAAAAACAAACGTTAAAACGTGAAACGTATTTTGGTGTTAAGTGTAAGCTGAGGGTTTTATTTTTTCATTTATTATTTTTTTTAATTATTAATTTTTTAAGGTTAATGAGAAAAAAATGGGTTTTTGGTGTCAATTCTCACTTTGTAATAATAATAATAATATTAATTATAGCGGTTTTAAATGGTACAACACAAACCTGTGTCAGTTATCACCTCTTAAGGGCTCGTATTTCGGAAAGTATTTTATATGAACTGAGATAGCTGTAAACCTATAAAATGGAAATTCAAAGTTTTACTTTTATTAGTTTTCATTTTTTCATTTTGTTTTTCCCCCTTTTATTTTTTTTTAATTTCTTTCAACTGCAATGCTAAATAACAATAATTAATCAATTTGTAATTAAGATTAGAACGTTATTGTTTGTTTAATCTTAGTTTGTTTTTATTTATTTTTAAATTTAAATATTAAATAGATTTTGGGGTTGGTTTTTTTAAAGAAAATATCGCTCACAGCCCCCCATCTACATCTACATGTTTAAGTTTAACCAGAAAATTTCCGTTTGAAAGGGATATTACTAAATATTTTTTTTACAAGTATTAAAATGGATATGTACAGAAATTAATTTACACTCTTAGGCACTAAATAACAAAAAGGAAATTAAACCTTTATTATTTTTCGTCAAATCATCATTCCTTTTTAGTGATGTAGCTATAAATACTAAAAAAATTATATATTTCTGGGCCATTTTGGATGAAATTTCTTCTATTACTTCAAAATGTATTTATTTATTTAGTTTTTCCTAATTGTTCTAATAATTCTTGTTTGATTATTAGCTTTTTCGTCGAATATAGCTACACTACCGTTTTTCTTTCAATTATTTTCAAAATAAAAAGTACTTAAAAATGCCTTCATTAATACTGAAAGAACGAAAAGTATTTTATCTAAATAAAAAAAGATATTTCAAAAAGAAAAGCGTAAATAGTTAATAAATATAAGTACAAACGTCCCAATTATGTGATCACAATAAGCGGATAAATTAGCATCAACGATCTCCACCAAGTTCAAAGGTCAATCAAACAGCTACCAACATAAAAAAATTGTAAATAGCATACAGAGAGAGCATTAAAAAGGAAAAGAAATTAGCACCCTTCAAATATTAATAACCCCAAAACCAAAATAAGAAATAATTTTCCGTATTCTTTTTGTTCGATTTTTTTTAATAATTTAAAATCTAATACGTGTTATTGTTTCTTTTAAAGCACACATGCCGAGAAGACGCCAAGAACGCGTCAGCCAACGTCGGCTTCACCATTGTGCACATTTCGGTTGTTATAGATAGCTTGCCTGTAACTGTACCTATTGATGGGCGGTGATTTCCCCTCAGAAACGGTTGTCGTTGACGATCCACTTTCACCGCTTCCACCGTAACCCACCCCGCTCGCTTCGTCCTCTAATTCCCCGATACTATTCTCCAAAACGCAGATTCCCGCATCGGAAATTCGAGATTTTAATACGTGAACGTAAATGCTGTATCTTTGAAGCTAAAAAGATATGTTAAATATTAATGCTTTTAGATGAAGTAAAATTAGGGTTTTGATTACTTCATAAGTAAGGTAGGCCACTTTTTCTTTGTAATTCTGCACAATTAGCGATTTTGCGCCTCTTTCCGGGGGCGCTTTTCGATGTTCTTCGAGCTCGCTGGCCAGTCTAGTAACTCTCTCCTCATGATCTCTTAACTGATCCCTCTAAAATATATTAAAAATAATATATATATTTAACCTTTTATATTATTTTTGAATAAAGTTTAAACGTCAATGTAACACAAATTCAATGTCACCAACTGTAACCAACTTCACAACAATTTGTCAAAATGAAATGTCAATTTTATGAAACGTCATGTTTTTTTACGAGAATTAATTAATTTATGCTTAAATCATAAGAAAAAAGGAATTTGTTTACGTTTTTTTACTGTCAAATCTTTAGAAAGTCCTAAAAAATTAAATTAAATCGACGTTTTTTGAAATTTTGACGTTTCAAATAAGTTGATTACACATGAATAATAATTATTCACCGTTATTTTTCACTCCGTGAATAATTACTACCATTTTATTTCAGAAAACTCATTAGTAAGGTATATATTATAAGGTAGTCGTGGACAAATTTATTTTTTAAATAAATTTTTTAATAAAGTTTAAACGTCAATGTGACACAAATTCAATGTAACCAACTTCACAATAATTTGTCAAAATTAAATGTCAATTTTATGAAACGTCACGTTTTTTAACGAAAACTAATTAATTTATGCTTAAATCATACGAAAAAAGGAATTTGTTTACGTTTTTTTAAAGTCAAACCTTTAAAAAGTCCTAAAAAATTAAATTAAATCGACGTTTTTTTGAAATTTTGACGTTTCAAATAAGTTGATTACACATGAATAATAATTATTCACCGTTATTTTTCACTCAGTGAATAATTACTATCATTTTATTTCAGAAAACTCATTAGTAAGGTATATATTATAAGGTAGTCGTAGAACAAATTTATTTTTTAAATAAATTTTTTAATAAAGTTTAAACGTCAATGTGACACAAATTCAATGTAACCAACTTCACAATAATTTGTCAAAATTAAATGTCATTTTTATGAAACGTCACATGTTTTTTTACGCAAATTAATTTATGCTTAAATCATACGAAAAAAGGAATTTGTTTACGTTTTTTTAATGTCAAATCTTTAGAAAGTCCTAAAAAATTAAATTAAATCGACGTTTTTTGAAATTTTGACGTTTCAAATAAGTTGATTACACATGAATAATAATTATTCACCGTTATTTTTCACTCCGTGAATAATTACTACCATTTTATTTCAGAAAACTCATTAGTAAGGTATATATTATAAGGTAGTCGTGGACAAATTTATTTTTTAAATAAATTTTTTAATAAAGTTTAAACGTCAATGTGACACAAATTCAATGTAACCAACTTCACAATAATTTGTCAAAATTAAATGTCAATTTTATGAAACGTCACATTTTTTTTTACGAAAATTAATTAATTTATGCTTAGATCATACGAAAAAAGGAATTTGTTTACGTTTTTTTAATGTCAAACCTTTAGAAAGTCCTAAAAAATTAAATTAAATTGACGTTTTTTGAAATTTTGACGTTTCAAATAAGTTGATTACACATGAATAATAATTATTCACCGTTATTTTTCACTCCGTGAATAATTACTACCCTTTTATTTCAGAAAACTCATTAGTAAGGTATATATTATAAGGTAGTCGTGGACAAATTTATTTTTTAAATAAATTTTTGAATAAAATTTAAACGTCAATGTGACACAAATTCAATGTAACCAACTTCACAATAATTTGTCAAAATTAAATGTCAATTTTATGAAACGTCACATTTTTTTTTACGAAAATTAATTAATTTATGCTTAGATCATACGAAAAAAGGAATTTGTTTACGTTTTTTTAATGTCAAACCTTTAGAAAGTCCTAAAAAATTAAATTAAATTGACGTTTTTTGAAATTTTGACGTTTCAAATAAGTTGATTACACATGAATAATAATTATTCACCGTTATTTTTCACTCCGTGAATAATTACTACCATTTTATTTCAGAAAACTCATTAGTAAGGTATATATTATAAGGTAGTCGTGGACAAATTTATTTTTTAAATAAATTTTTTAATAAAGTTTAAACGTCAATGTGACACAAATTCAATGTAACCAACTTCACAATAATTTGTCAAAATTAAATGTCATTTTTATGAAACGTCATGTTTTTTTTTTACGAAAACTAATTAATTTATGCTTAAATCATAGGAAAAAAGGAATTTGTTTACGTTTTTTTAATGTCAAACCTTTAGAAAGTCCTAAAAAATTAAATTAAATTGACGTTTTTTGAAATTTTGACGTTTCAAATAAGTTGATTACACATGAATAATAATTATTCACCGTTATTTTTCACTCCGTGAATAATTACTACCATTTTATTTCAGAAAACTCATTAGTAAGGTATATATTATAAGGTAGTCGTGGACAAATTTATTTTTTAAATAAATTTTTTAATAAAGTTTAAACGTCAATGTGACACAAATTAAATGTAACCAACTTCACAATAATTTGTCAAAATTAAATGTCATTTTTATGAAACGTCATGTTTTTTTTTTACGAAAATTAATTAATTTATGCTTAAATCATACGAAAAAAGGAATTTGTTTACGTTTTTTTAATGTCAAACCTTTAGAAAGTCCTAAAAAATTAAATTAAATTGACGTTTTTTGAAATTTTGACGTTTCAAATAAGTTGATTACACATGAATAATAATTATTCACCGTTATTTTTCACTCCGTGAATAATTACTACCCTTTTATTTCAGAAAACTCATTAGTAAGGTATATATTATAAGGTAGTCGTGGACAAATTTATTTTTTAAACAAATTTTTTAATAAAGTTTAAACGTCAATGTGACACAAATTCAATGTAACCAACTTCACAATAATTTGTCAAAATTAAATGTCAATTTTATGAAACGTCACATTTTTTTTACGAAAATTAATTTATAGTTCATTTTTTTTCTATAATACCTGCTAAATTGTTGTAAAGTTGGCAAAATTAATAGGGAGTTTTGTTTTATCATTAAAATGAATATGTCACATTGACGCTTGAGCTTTCGTTATTTAAAAAGAAAAGGTGCATTAAAATGTTGTGGGATGTTTATTTGTCATTTATTTACCTAGAAAAGGTGTTTTGTTTTATTTAAGTACTTTGTAGCACGTTTTTACAACAAATATGTAATTCGTTAAAATCGTATTTATCT